GATATTTACCCAACCATGCTCATAGCAGTAGTATTCACAACAGTGAAAAAGAAAGAACCAATTCAAATATCCACCAGCACAATGATGAAAGAAAATGTAAAATCTTTATAATGTAATATTATACAGTCTTTTAAAGGAAGGAAACTGACACAGGCTACAACATGTATGAATTTTGAGAACATGATTCTGAAATAAGCTGGTCACACAAAGACAAATACAGTACGATCCTACCTATCTGAGATAAGTAGAGTAGTAAAATTCACACAGATAAAAACTAGAATGATGGTTGCCAATGGTAAGAGAAAAGAAAAATAGCAAGTTGTCTAATGGGTATGTACTTTCAGTTCTGCAAGATAAAAACAGCTTAGCAAAGCTCTCACTGATAAGTGTAAAATAATTTGAATATCAAAATACATAATGATGGGGGGGCTTAGATTGTAGCTCAGCGGTAGAGCACTCCCCTAGCATGTGTGAGGCCCTAGGTTCGATTTTAAGCACCACATATAAATAAATAAATACATAGAATGAAGGTATTGTATCCAACTACAATTAAAAAATAAATATTTTTTTAAAAATACATAATATAGGCATGGTGACACATGCCTATAATCCCAAAGACTCAGAAGGCTGAGACAGAAGAATAACAACTTCAAGGCTGGCAAACCCCTAAGCAAATTAGCAAGACTCTTTCTGAAAATAAAGAATAAAAAGGATTGGGGATGAGGTTCTATGGTTAAGCACCCCTGCATTTAATCCCCAGTACAAAAAAAAAAAAAAAAAGTAACAGATTATGATGCTCTGAGTAAAAGAAAAATCCAACAGTTCACACTGATATAAGTAAGACATAAATGGGGTAGAAGGGAAACCCCTAACTTACCACAGAATCCCAATTAATGAATGTTCAAGGAAAGAAGGAAATTTTTTTAATTATAAAATTATGGCTAATAATAAATAAATAGCTAATACTGAAATAAGTATCATCAAATAAGTGCTAAAATAAAGTGTAAGAAGAATAAGATATTTGTATCACCTTGAAATATCTCTCCCTGATCCTTGTTAATTACTACTAATATGTAAATCACACTTATTATTAACTTTAAAAAGAATAAAAAAGTTGTAGATACCATCCTAAGTAGTATAAGCTAACATTATCAGTACTGGGACAAATTCACATAATGTGCCTCCTAGTATGATACATCATGAAAAGCATGTCACTTCTGTAGCTTTCCTACCCAAAAACCAAATCTACTCATAATATAATAACAGACAAGCTCTATTTGAGAAACATACACAAAGTAACTAGGCTGCATTCTTCAAAAATGTCACAAATGGGCTGGGTGAGTAGGGGAACAAGTGGTACAGCACTTGCCTCAGATGTGTGAGGCACTGGGTTCAATTCTCAGCACCACATATACATAAATAAATAAAGCATAGGTCCATCAACAACTTAAAAAAAAAAACATGTCATGAGGGCTGGAGTCGTGTGTCTCAGTGGTAGAAAGCTTAACTAGCTATGTGAGGTACTGGGTTTGATCCTGAGAACCACATAAAAATATTCTGTCTACCTATAACTAAAAATATATATATATTTTTAAAAAATGTCATGAGAGCTGGGGCTGTGGCTCAGTGGTAGAGCACTTGCCTAGCATGTGTGAGGCACTGGGTTCGATTCTCAGCTCTGCATATAAATAAAAAATAAAGTCTCATTAACATCTAAAAGCTATATTTTAAAAAATGTCATGAAAGAAGGAAAAACAGAAACTGTTCTAAATAAGGAACCTAAAGAAACATGAAAATTAAATGAAACACTAAAATAATTTATAACAGGTGTTTTATCAACACTAATATCTAGAGGGGCATTCCAAAATTGTATGGGAAGCCAGGTGATGTGTACCAGTATTCCCATCTACTCAGGAAGCTTAGGCAGGAGGATCACTTGAGCTCAGGAATTCAATGACAGACAGGCAACATAGCAAGATCCCATCTCAATAACAAAAAATAAAAACAAAAACGGATAACCTCATCCGCACAATTTCCTCTGACGAACACAAGAATTACTGCTCTTCACAATCTGTTTTCACATTCTCTTTACAACTACATTGGCCTCCTTGGTATTCTTTTACTTATCAAACTCACTTTAGACTCAAGTGATTCTGTATATGCTATTTTATCTGGAATGCTCTCCCCACTCATATCCAAATGGCTTTCTTACTTTCTTCAGATATTTGATTCAATACCTCCTTCTGAGGTCCTTCCTTGACTATTCTGTTTTATTTGTCTTTCTAACACCACCAACTGGAAGTATTATGTATTTTATTTATTTGCTTTCCATACCTGTCACCGGAATATAAGTCCCACGACAAAGAAATTTTTTATTCATTTGTTCACTGCTAGTGTCCTGAACATAAAGACAAGTGATGGCACACAGCAGATATTTAGTAGGTATTAGTGTAATCAATGAATGTCCAATAGTGAGTAATGATTAAATTGTTAAATTCACACAATAGATATTATATACAATTAAACTTTTAGATAAAATTTAAAGGAAAATGATAATATATTGGTTAAGAAAAAAGTCTCCAAAAATATATGCAGTCTGGTCACTAAGCGTACTCTAAGGACAAGACATACTAGAGAAACTATATTTCAAAATCATTATGTTAACAGATAAAGTCAAATATAAGGTGAATTGCCGGTTGACTGATAATATGGTGAAGTACTCATCATAAGTATTAGAATAAGCTTACTGAAAAAATTTTAGACTTTTTCTCCAAAATCTGTCTTAGAAAACATTTTTATCAATAACTTGGATAATAATAGATATCAAATAAACAAATGCCACAAATATAAATGATATAATTATAATAGAACAAATGACCAAATGTATATACAAAATCATTCTAATGTGCTTAAACATTGTTATGAAATCAGTAAGAAGAAATACAGCAGAGTTTAAAAAAAAAAAGCAGTAAATAGACAAAAGAAATGGGATAGAAATTTTGGTGGTACTTCATGTTTTTTAAAAAATGCCAAGCCAGGCATGGTGGCACATGACTGTAATCCCAGTCTCTTAGAGGAGGCTGGGGCAGGAGGATTGCATGTTCAGGGGCAGCCTCAGCAATTTAGTGAGGCCTGAACAACTTAACAAGATCCTATCTCAAAAAATAAAAAGGGCTGGGGATATAGAACAACAATAACAAAAGTGCCAGTGTATGAGGTGACCATTAAAATTTTGAGAATCATCAGTAGAAAGAAAATAATAAAATATATTTCATGTTGGTTAGATCACATGTAAAATTCCGTATATAATCTAACTCAGGACACTTTAATAAAACTACAAACTAGTCTACCCAAAGGAAGTCTTTTTGATTGTTGAGAGGTCTGAAAATAACAATATGTGAACATTTTATAAATAGAGAAATGAAGGTTACTGGAGAAAATATGAACTTTTAAATAAGCAGTGCTAGGAAAAACAATTAACTATCCATTTATTATTTGTTTTATTTTTCACAGGCACATAGGCAAAACCTAAAATCCAATCTAATTTATACTTTTAAAAAATTTTTCCAAAAATAAGACAAAACAAATAATTAAGCTATATTACTAAAGAGTATTTTCTAAGAAACTCTGTATGATTCAGCTGATAAAGTCCATGGATACAATGTACTATCAATTCTCATTGGACTAATAGTTGACATTTATTAATCACTCACTAGATATCACTTATTCTACTAAATATTTTATGAGCATTGTCTTATATAAATCAATCCAACACCCTATAAGATAAGATAGGTGCTTATATACCCATTATTATCAATAATAGCAGACAAAATACCTTATTCACAGAAGAATGGGTAAACTGAAATACATTCATATACTGGAATACTGTACAGTAATAAGGAATGAATTAAAACTATGTACATTGCCTATAAGAATCTGAAAAAACCACTTGAGATAATATAATCCAAAACAACTCAGTTTTCAAAGATCTATCATGCAAATTCCATCTATATAAAATTCAAAACCATGCTGAAGAGCAGGGAAGTCAATACATGTCAAGATAAGAAGTAAAAAAGATATGATTGTTGGCCTGGGGTTGTGGCTTGGTGGCAGAGCACTTACCTAGCATACATGAGGCACTGGTTCAATCCCCAGCACCACATTTAAAAATAAATAAATAAATAAATAAATAGGTGTTATATCCATCTTTTAAAAAAAAAGATATAATGGTATATTATATGTCAAGAGCTTTGTAATGTTTTGAACAACCAATAAAAAAAAAGATATAATGGTGATAGGGACACAAAAAACTTCAATGATATTTGGTAATGTTCTATTTCTCAAGGTGAATCTAGTAGATAGATATACAGAAATTATTTATACTTCTCTCCACACTTTACGTAAGTGTTCCTGTGCATGAAAAGGTTCATACTACAAGAAAAATATTTTTTCTATTAAAAAGAAAGTCATTTTTATGTAAGCTATCATAACTCTGTGTTCTTTCTTTTTTTCTTTCTTTCTTTCTTTAGGTGGTACTGGGGATTGAATCGAGGGCCTTATGCATACAAGGCAAGCACTCTATCAACTGAGCTATATTCCTGATAGTGTCATAACTCTGTGTTCTTAATCAGAGAATATACATCTGAAACTAGCCAGATTTCCTCTATATTTCAAGATGTCTACTTTAAGAAAAAATAAGGTTGATATTTAATCTTCTGTTCTAAAAATATACTGATACAAGCAAATCAATTCTTATTCTTTCTAAGAAGATAACTTTTTCTGAATAGATGAATTTGGAATTAATCAAAACTTATTTGGAATTCTAAAAATCAAATTAATCAAATCTTTAAATCTTAACTTTTGAAAAATTAAGACTCCTAACACTTCAGCTCAAGATTAGCAATGACTCAGCTGGAGTCATCAATGCCCAAGTAAGAGATCAATTTCTATCATCATTTTTTTTTAAATTTTCTGTTTTCATTACTAGATTTCTCTTATACCTCAGATACATGAGTTGTTCTTCCATGACCAAACAATTCTGCCTTGATTTCTTCTACTTTCCTCCTGTCATCTTCATTTAATTCTGAAATTGAATATCCACACTCACGTGCTAAGTTAAACTTCAGATTCCAGGCTGGGAAGAAAGCATAAAAACCACTTGAGATAATACAATCCAAAAGTGATAGTTTTCAGTGATTATAATAGCCCAGAAAATTAGCAAGCTATGCTGAATATACACAACTTAATTAATGCCTACCACAATGCTCAGCATAAGCTCTCAAATTATATACCCTAATGTTCTTGAAAGAAATAATTTCCTTGAAAAGTCTCATTTCTAAAAAACCATACTCTACAAATATGTCTACAAAGAGTCCACTTCAAATATGGTATTCAATCATTTTTATCCTAATCTTCCTTCCAACCAAAGAAGTCCCCTTTTCCTCCCCTTTTTGCACCTACTACAGTTACAGACACTCGTATGAGAACTAGTATTTTAAAATGGTAAATAAAACTATAAAGATTTTTTGAGAATCAAAATGTATAAGAACAGTATAGAAAATTAATCTCAAAGGAAGATTCATAGGTAGGTCTGAACTGCATATAACGCACCCCCCAAGAATATTATTCCCATATGTCTTAAAGATTTTTATTTCCTCTTTTAATAGAATTCTACTATTAGATATTAATGGGATTAGTAAATAATTCTCTTTCAAACCTCTAACCCAAGTTTTAGTATGAAATACCTTGATAGAGATTAGAAGATCAATTCCAAGAATTTTATTAGAAATAGGAAGGAAAAAATGTATGTAGTTTTGGAACACAAAACAATTTAGAGCACAGAAATCTGGAGATTTTTTTTTTTTTGCCTGCCCCAAGATAAATTTATTATAATGGGAGAATCAGGGAAAAATAAAAGCTTTAGGAGCTCTGAAACCCAAACTTCCTTCTTAACTCTCTGACATCAAAGTCTACTTCTCCTAAAACCGTAACCTAGACTAGCACTGTTAATGCTATAACTTAGCTACATAATTGGTTAGATGAATCTTTCTAGGTTGCTTGTAGAAAATATAAACATTCTAACAGTTCTATAGGAAAAAGAAATTAAGAACTCCAAATATGTAAGGTTAATCAATTTTTATATTTCTCAACTTATCAATGTTTATAAGCGTAAACATGCCTATATGACAAATGACAGTTCTTACCTCGTGCTCGTACCCGACATTCCTCTTCCTCTGCATTTCTAAGTATTTGTTTAGCATGATTTAATGAGGATTCACAATGCAGAAGATTTTTCACACGTGCAGCCAGTGAATCTACACTACCACCATCGTCACTCTCTGACATACCCTGTTCATCTCTGCTATCTATTATGCTTGGATTCGGTGAAGTGTATGGAAAAAAGTTGAGAAGAACATCAGAAACTGATTCCAAAGACTCTGGTAAATTACTCTCCCATGAGCAGGAACCATGTCCATCACTTATATCACTACTTGAATCACTTTTTATGATAGTCATCATAGGGATAATAATTTTGTTCCCAATGGTTCTACTATAGCGTTCAGGTTCAGACCTCATTGCAGATTTGGCTGCTTCATATTGCCTAAGAGTTTCACCTAATGCCATTCTGGCTTTGCTTTCTGCTTCCTGTAGAGGACTTCTAATTGTAGTTGATCTAATAAACTCCCAATTTTCAATGCCTCTCTGGCATTTCAAATTCGTTTGTGTGCCAATATCTTTCTGTATGCTTCTATTGCTTGGGCTTTCCTCCTCTATATATGGTTGTCTATGAAGGAAATCACCATCAGATACATCAGTTGTGGGGGGTTCTTTGAAGCAAACCACCTTCTTAGATCGTATAAATGAAATATCACTAACATCTCTGAAAGGGACAAGGGGAGCAGGAAAATTGCATCGTTTCAGTGCTATATTTTCTGCCTCCATTAAAAGTGTCCGAATTTCTTTAAGAGTTTTGGAACTATTATATGTATCCTGGATTTCCTCTGAACCATTATCTTCAAAACCTATAGATTCAGGCTTAATTATTACAAGTCCATCATCAGCTTGAGAATTTAATGGCATATGTTTTGAGAAAGCACTTGAATCAGAAGAATCCAAATTATCTATTAGTCTTTGGACATGTTCTGAAACAAGTTTGTCCTTTTCATCAGGTGAATAAGTACCAGGGGAAATTATTGATAACCCAGTAATTTGATTAGATTGCCCAAGACCACTCGAGACCTTCAGATCATCTTCAGTTAGATGTCTACATGGCAAATCCTTTTGATAGAAAATATTCAATTTTCCTCTGTATGAAAAGGAACTAGGAGGAGCTGTTGGTAATTCTGCTTTCTGGTCAGCTGGTTCAGGAACAGTCGAAACCTTTAGTGCATCTTCAGTTTGATATCTGTCTGACAATTTCCGTAGATACAAATTATTAGATTTTTCTTTCTGTAAATAAGAACCACAGAGAGTTATTGGTGCCCCAGTATTTACATCAGTTGGCTCGGGGACAGTTGAAATCTTTAGAATATCTTCACTTTGATCTCTATCTGGCAACTGCTGTTGGAAAAAAACATGAGGTTTTACTCTTTCAGAACAGGAACTATGAAAAACTGTCAGTAATGGAGTCTCCTGGTCATCTGGTCCAATCACAGTTGAAATCCTGGGCTTCTCTCTCTTTAAATGGAAACTATGGGTAACTGTTGGTAACTCTGTCTTCTGGTTGTCCGGTAGATTCACAGTTGAAACCTTGAGTTTCTCTTGATGTGAGTAGGAACTCGATGGTACTGCAGGTATCCTATTCTTCTGGTCACCTAATCCAGAAACAGTTGAAGCCTTCAGAGATTCTTCAGTTAGATCACTATCAGGAAAGGACTGTTGAGAAAAATCACTAGGCTTCTCTCTATGGAAGTAGGAACTAGAGGGTGTTCCAGCCCTCTGCTCTACTGGAACAGAAACAGATGAAACTTTCGAAGCCTCTTCAGTGAGATGGCTCTCTGGCAACTCCTGTGGAGAGAAGACACTGGGCTTCTCTCTATGTGAGTAGTAACTTAAAGGCATTGTTGATATTCCAGTCTTCTGGTCATCTGGTTCAGGAAGAACAAGAACGTCTAAAGCTTCTTTGGAAATATTTGGCAACTCCTGCTTATGAAAACTACTGGAATAGGAACTAGAGGATACTGTTTGTATTCCAGTCTTCTGGTCAGCAAGTCCAGGAACCTTTACTGTTTTCAAAGTGACCTGAGTAAGATCTGGCAATTCCTGCTGTAAAGAAATGATGGACTGTTCTCCCTGTGAATAGGGAGTAGAGGTTATTGTGTGTATTCCAGTCTTATAGTCAGCTGGTTCAGGATCCTCTAAAACTTCCAAAGTATCTTCAGGAATATCTGTCAACTCCTGCTGGTAAGAAATAATGGGCTTTTCTCCATGTAAATAGCGGGTAAAGGGCACGATGTGTATCCTAGTATTCTGATCAGAAAGTCCAGGAACACCTAAAATGTTCAAATCATCTTCAGTACGACGTGCTAACTCTTGTTGGTAGGAAATAACAGCCTGATCTATAGGTGAGTAGGAAGGAGAGATTTCAGTAGGAATTGTGGTATCTACTGGTTCAGAAATAACTGAAAGTTTCAGACTTTCTTCACTTCGCTGACTATCTGGCAGGACTTGGTGGTACAGAACAATGGGCTCCTCTCCAAACGAGTAGGGGGAAGTGGAGGATACACTCAGATTCCCAGCCTGCAAGTCAGCTGGTTCAGGAGAGGATAAAACTTTCAAAGCCTCTTTAGGTAGATAACTATCTGTCAAGGCCCTTTGGTAGAAAATAACAGGCTTCTCCTCAAGTGAATAGGAACTTGAAGATAATGTTGGTGTCACCATATTCTGGTCAGCTGGTCCAGGAGCAGTCAGAGATTCTTCAGGTATATGACTGCTTGGCAAGGACTGTTGGTAGAAAATGCCAAGCTTATCTCTTTGTGAGTAGGAAGGAGGGATTACGGTTGGTATGCCAGTCTTCTGGTCTGTTCCAGGAGTAGTTGAAACTTTGAGAGCCTCTTCAGGTAGATGACTATCTTGCAGGGTCTCTTGGTAGAAAATAATAGGTTTTTCTCTATGCAAGTAGAAAGTAGTTGGTCCTATTGGTATCCCAGTCTTATGATCATCTAGTCCAGGAACAAATGAAACTTTCTGAGCCTCTTCATTTAGATGGTTATTTGATAACATCTGGCGATAGAAAATATTAGATGTCTCTCTCTGTGAGTAGGAAGTAGAGGTTAGTATTGGTATCCCAGTCATCTGGTCAGCTGACCCAGGAATAGCTGAAATTTTCAGAGGCTCTTTAGTTGGATAACTATCCGACAAGGCCTGCTGGTAAATAACACCAGGCTTCTCTCTCTGAGAGTAAGAACTAGAGTATACTTTTGTTGTCATAGTCTTCTGGTCAGCTAGTCCCGGAATAGCTGAAACTTTCACAGTCTCTTCAGTTACGTGACCATCTGGTAACTCTTGCCGGTAAAAAGTACCAGGCTTCACTCCATGTGAGTAGGAAGTAGAGCGGACTACTGCTGTTTCAACCTTTTGGTCAGCAGACCTAGGAAAAGTTGACACTTTCAGAGCTTGATCAGTTACATGACTTTCTGGCAAGGCCTGACGATAGAAAGCATAAGATTTATCTCCATGTGGGTAGGAAGCAGAGGATACTGTGGTCATCCCAGTCTTCTTGTCAGCTGGTCCAAGAGCAGATGAAAGAAACTCTTCAGCTAAATGACTCTCTGGCAACTCTTGTTGGTAGAGAATAATAGCAGGTTCCCCTCTATACGAGTAGGAAGGAGAAGTTATAGTAGGTATACTAATCTTCTGGTCATCTGCTCCAGGAGCAAGAGAAACATTCAGAGTTTCTGCAGGTATATGACTACCTGGCAAAACCTGTTGGTAGAAAACACCAGGCTTATTTCTTGGTGAATAGGAAGTAGAGGTTAGAGTTGGTATCCTGGTCTTCTGGTTATCTGGTCCAGGAACAGATGAAACTCTCAGAGCCTCTTGACCACCTGGCAAGGATTGTTGGTAGACAACACCAGGCTTATCTTTTGGTGAGAAGGAAACAGAGGATACAGGTGGTATGCCAGTCTTCTGGCCAGCTGGTCCCAGAACAGCTGAAGCTTTAAGACCCTCTATAGGTATCTGACCTCTTGGCAAGGCCTGTTGGAAGAAAACATCAGGCTGATCCCTTGGTGAGTAGGAAGGAGAGGTTGCAGGTGTTATGCCAGTCTTCTGGCCAGCTGCTCCAGGAACAGCTGAAACTTTCTGAGTCTCTATAGGTATCTGACCACCTGGCAAACCTTGTTGGTAGAAAACACCAGGCCGGTCACTTTGTGAATAAGGAACAGAGGTTGCAGGTGGTATGCCAGTCTTCTGGCCAGCTGGTCCAGGAGCAGATGAAACTTTCAAAGCTTCTGCAGGTATCTGACCACCTATCAAGGCCTTTTGGTGGAAAACATCAGGCTTATCTCTTGGTGAATAGGAAGGAGAGGTTGCAGGTGGTATGCCAGTCTTCTGGCCAGTTGGTCCAGAAGCAGATGAAACTTTCAAAGCCTCTGCAGCTATGTGACCACCTGGCAAGTCCTGCTGGGAGAAAACACCAGGCTGGTCTCTTTGTGAGTAGGTAACAGAGGTTGCAGGTGATATTCCAGTCTTCTGGTCAGCTGGTCCAGGAGCAGCTGAAACTTTCAGAGCCTCTATAGGTATATGACCATCCGGCAAGGCCTTTTGGTAGAAAATTTCAGGCTCATCTCTTGGTGAGTAGGAAGGAGAGGTTACAGGTGGTATGCCAGTCTTCTGGCCAGCTGGTCCAGAAGCAGTTAAAACTTTCAGAGCCTCTGCAGCTGTCTGACCACCTGGTAAGGCCTGCTTGGAGAAAACACCAGGCTGGTCTTTTTCTGAGTAGGGAACAGAGGTTGCAGGTGTTATGCCAATCTTCTGCTCAGTTGGTCCAGGTGCAGCTGAAAGTTTCAGGGCCTCTGCAGGTATCTGAACACCCGGCAAGGCCTTTTGGTAGGAAACATCAGGCTTCTCTCTTTGTAAGTCAGAGGGTAATGTTACAGTTAAAGCTGGTAACCCTGTCTTCTGCTCATCTTTTCCAGGAATAGCTGAAATTTTCTGAATCTCTGCAGGTGTCTGCCCACCTGGCAAGGCATGTTGGTAGAAAACACCAGG